CCGTGGCTCGACATCGACCACTTCCGTGCAGCGGTATCCGACTTCTCGATATCGTCGAACGGTCACCAAGGGTGGACCAATAAAGTCCTCCTGCCGATTGGGAAACCGTGACGCGTGCTCGACCCCTTATCGGTGCCGTATCGGACAGAAAACTTTCGAAGGTGAAATCACGCTGTTCTCGTAGTTTCTTTGTTCGTTTCCTTTTCTATATTTGAGGAACTGGAACGAGTCCTATCTTTTTCCTGAGAGAGAAATGTTAATGGAAGGAGTTAAATGGTTCGGAGGGGACCGAAGTCGTGGCATAGGGTAATAGAAATCATCGAACCGTATAAAATACTCCCTTGCGTCCTTTGCTTCCAGACCAATATCTCGAACAGTTTCAATTTCATAAAATTCCAGAAATGCTCCCTTGAAACAATCTCTAGGAAAAACCGTTTGGTCATTTGGCCCAGTTAGTCGAGAAAGCAGCGAGCACGATCGACGGGGGATGGAAATCCACGAGGAAACGTCAGGGGGTAGGAAATGGCAGCGTCAGACACCATTACCCGAAAAAAATCTTGACCTTTTCGCAACGGCTTCCAACATTTTCGGAGAGCCGTAAAACTTAACGATCGCTTTTGAAATTGCCCCAGCCTTTTTTCGCCCGTAACGAGACACGGTACTTGATTCTTCGCACCCCATTCTCTATGGTTCGCCACGCGAGAGACATTTAAAGACCGTAACTCCGCCGTTATGGGAGTCTAAGGGACGCTGGGGTGGCGGAGGCGAGCATCGACACACGCCCCGAGCATAATCGCGACGCCGAGCTCGAATAAACGTTGAATTCCGCAGTGTCGAGAATCACTTTAATTCTCGTGGAAATCTTATCGCGGTGAACCGTGAACGAAAAGAATGGTGCGTGGCTCCAAAGATTTCAGCGTTATTACCTTGGATTGTCAAACACGAAACTTGGTATACTCGATATAGCGAGGCTAAACAAATATTATTCTGCGTGCAGTGTCGAGAAACTGTATAACCAGAACGAAATTAAAATTCTTGCGTTCTCGTTGCAAATGTACCAGCGTTAAACAAATGCCTGGAATTCGTTTCGTTCCCGAATTTTTGCACTAGGAACTGGCCTGACGGTTTCGACGTTTAAATTAACGCTGGTCGTTGACCCTCCCGGAAGAAAAGTCGGTTTGCATTGCGTCGTCCCGTTAAAAAATGACTGTCGCCCCCTTCCGTGGCTCTCCAGGCCCGAGAATACTCCACGGAGTCGGCCAATCGCGTTCAGTACTTATGAGATACGTGACCCTCGCAATTCCGAGCAACGAAGGAACGTGGCGGAGAAGGTTGCTCCGCGCCCATGAAAGTTAATATTCCGTGGAAAGGACTTACGTAAGGACGTTGGCAGAGAGAAAGAGAGGAAAAAAAAAGAAGCGAAGCGAGAGGTGCTCGCCGGTGGTAAAACTCCCCTTCACCCCCTAGACTTCACCTAGACTCGGTCGAGGAATCGATAGGGTGACTCATCGAGGGGCGGTGACGGAGTTCTCTCCCTCCCTTATCCTCTATCCTCCTCGTTCGCTCTTCCCACGCCCTTCTCCTTCTCTATTCGTCCCCGTGCTTCCGGTTCTAACGCCGAAAGCGTGTCCAAACTTTGAAACTCCGCTGTTTGGCCGCAGCTTCACATTTTCGCGAAACACTTCTTGGAGAAATAACGAAATGCACTCGCCCTCTGGTTGAAATTCTCAGGCTCGAGAAGAAACGTCAGGGGTCGAGTTTTGTGAAACTTTTAGCGACGCTTATTGTCCAGCCTGAGAATTATTCTTTACTTCGGACTCTGAGCCACCGATTTTGTTTATGTTTATACAAAAAGAAAATATTAAATATAAAATGCAAGCAGACAATTGTTATCGATGTCAAGCGCGAGGGTGCAAGGGAGAGAGAAGCACTCAGTAAAAGCGAATAGTTTCCGTCTGGAATTTAAATAAATTGCGTTTAACCGTAGTTAAAGTATATTATAATTTCCCTCGTCCGTCCGCGGTGCAGCGAATGAAACGGAATTTGAAAGCCCCGATAGAATCAGTGGCACGAGTTCAGCAGCGTTTGAATAACGTTCCGCGTTTTATGCCCTTTTATCTTCCTCCTTATCCACTGGAACTAACACGAGAGGCGCGCTAAAAGTGTAAAGCTCTCCGTTTAGTTTTCCTCTTCCCACTCACCGGCAGTGCTCCTTCCACGCGAAATAACGAGATTCGTTCGAACAGCCCGCAGCAGCTGCAACTACGGCTGCAACTGCACTCCAGTCGGTCATACCTATAACGAGCATGCGGCAAGACGACGGTCGCCAGCCAATTTGTCGCACACAGACGCTCCACCCTACCGCTGAGTCATCCCTCGGAACCCTTTCTCGAATTAACCGAATCACGGAGATTCTTTTATCGGCGAAACCAAGAACACAGATATTAAACGTTCCATAGAATTGGAACGAACAGGTGTGCGTAGCCGATATTTAAATATTCCGAAGAACGAATATTGGGCATCTCTTATCGGCTACTTGGCGTTTGTACTAAACTTCGAAGAAGTTCGTCCGCCACGACGATTCCCTGACTGTTCCGGTAACTTCTGCATGAATAAGTAGACGAATGAGACCGGTTACCGCCACACTCGTAGAGCGCGAAATTAATGGAACGTTAACGAGCGTTTCACCGTCGCGGAGCGAATTCGTCGAATCGCCTCTTTTCGCGCAACTTTTCCTCGCCTTTTCTTGGCAACGATAGCGGCGTAAACTCTATCGTAAAGTTCCGACTCTTCCTCCGCGTCGAAACTTTCAAGCTCCCTGGTCCCTTCTTCTCCGCACCTTCGGGCTTCTTTCGAACCCAGTAACAAGATACATCCTGGAGTCGCGCGACTACGGCCGAAACTGCCAAGGAAACTTTACCGACCATCGGATGCGCGCACAGCCCCGATGAATAACCAGACGGACGAACATAGGAAAATTGTTTCCGACAGATTTTTAGAAATCTACATCTCGTGCAAATATATTTGGCTCTTTGAAAAAATCCTTGGTTACTTAGATAGTATAACGAACCACGCAAGCGAGCAACGCCGGCAGCCAATTTGTCCACCTTGGGTCGAGCTACCCTTTTGCTGATTCATCCGAACTTACCCCTGAATCGTCCAACTTTCGTCGAATTCCTGGATAATTACGTGCACAAGCCGTAGGAAAAAGTAACGAGGTCCTTTCGTTCTTGTATCTCGCTGGAAACGAGCATCGTTCGACGGGGAATTCCGATCGCGAAAACTCCGGCTGGTTCGACGTCAAAGCGGAATTGCAAAAAGAGGACCGGATAGATTCTTGATCGTCCAAGCACTAGACAGAGAAAGAGAGAGAGAGAGAGCGAAAGAAAGAGAGAAAACTGATTAACCTTTTGTTCGTGACGGGAGTACAATCGAAGTCATGCCCCTCGTTAAATAGTTACGATGGTTCCGGCAAACGCCGAATAACCAACAAAGAAAGCATCAAAGGAACGCGCGAAACAAGTTTCATCCGGGCAATTCGATCGGCTAATTGACAAAAAGGAATTATTGGGAAGGGAAATTTAACGTATAAAAATCGCATCTCGTGTTTAGGAACGCGTTTTTGGGAGAACGAATCGAACGGAACACGGTCTACGTCCCTTTGACCGAAAGAAGCTCGAGTTCTCGAAGCACGGGGCTTAAAGCTCGCGGTTGAATCAATACTGGGAGCAGGGGCGAGATAGGTAGACGCAGAAGAGATAGGAGTGTCAAGGATAGAAGAAAAGGAAGGAAGGAAGGAAGGAAGGAAGGGACAAAGGAGGCCAAGGAGATTCGACTTAGGCACCCGTACACATACATGCACACGTTCCTCGGGGCTCTTCTCTATGTACACGAGCGTGTATCCGTCGCGTGTATATACCGATAGCTTTGTCGATAAGTACACGGGAGCTTCTTGGCATCGTTTCACGATTATCGGTACAGATTTCTTAACAATATGACCGGCGTCGCGTCGCGTCGCGTCGAGCATGGATGCGTTCTGTCGGTTTCTGTACAACGTTCTTCTAGCCACTGTCGTCTTGTTCAGGAGCATCAGTGAGTAGAGCACATAAAATAATCTGGGTGTACTCTGTCACGCGCTTGAACTTCATTCTACGCTTTTCAACTATCAAACTATCGAACTCTTGCGATCGATCGGTCAACATTTCGATCCTCTCCCGTGGAAGAGAGGAGAGCCTGTCCCGAGGATTTTCGAGCGCTGCAGCGGAACATGGTTTATTTCCTTCTTTATTTAACGTCTTTGTTGCAAAATTTTCTAAAGGTTTAGGCGTTCTTATTATTTTATGTACCCCCAGTATGCTCTATAGAACATCGACGCTTTCGTTATCGAAAAACCAATTACACAATTTTCCAAGAACAGACGCCGGACAAGACTTATCGACCGGCCAGGTTATTTTGTCACCCTTTTTCTGTACAACGCAAACCTTTCTACGGCCGCTCGTAAAAACGACTAAAGGGCCGTCGGTACCGCCGTTTCACGCTTCAATCGACGTCGTTGATTACACCTATTCTCACTCGTTACAACCGGACAACCTTGACCTCTGCTTCTCGCGATCTAACGATCTCCTACTCGACGTCTTGCAGCACGCGCGGAACCACGCATGTCACAATAGTTCTATGGCTTATGATAATTTCTCCATCGAACGAACCGATTTGAATTCAAGAAAATGGTGGCTCTGTTTAAAAATAGTCATTTCTGGAACCACCGTATAATAGAAACGTTCGCGGTAGCCAGGTCGTTTCGTTCGACGGAACACCGTTTTCCCAGGGGTTGTGCCGAAGCAGAAATGTTAGGGGCGTATTACATCCAATTTCACTTAACTATGATTACCACTGAGTTATGCTTGCGTCTCTACTGTAACTTTAACTCTGAAGTACTTTTGCGAAATAGTGATAAACAGTCGGTAAACACGCTAAATCGTATCTTTCGACGAATTTTCCAGAGAACGGTCTGCTCTCGTTCGAGAACCCGAATTACCACTTAGACCCGGCTCGCCTGGACGACGCGTTGAACAGCAACGAAAACGGCAGTTCCCTGTACGATGAGCTGTATCAGGAATTGGTTGGCAGCGGAGGCAGAAGCGGCGAAGTGACTGGCGGTGGAGGAGGCGGCGGAGGCGGAGGCGGTGGCACGAGGGTACAAGCACGCAGAACATACGCCACGTTGGATCTGGGCAGCATGGGGGTTGACGTCACTCAAGGTCCACTCACTCAGGACTCCGTCACGGAGGACGCGTCAGACAATACGGACAACCATAACCTAGGGTGAGTAGACGTTCGTTTCTACGTAGGACGTTAAACGGATCACGTTCTTGGCCACGAGCGAAGCCGCAGTGGCCGACGTGACTGCGGCGACGATTCTTAGATCCGTGCCCAACCAATCTTTCCTTCGGCTATCGAGTTTCGCCACGCTCGATGCATTCGGAGCGCGAAATCGACTCCAACGATGAAGGATCAAAGCTCGATCCGTGCTCGTCGCGACTGAGAATTTTATTGGAAATAGCCCGTGCACAAAAGTGAAAGAGGTCTCGATCGGCGAGTGGTCATGTCGGATCTAATATCCGTCGAGCGAAGATGAATATATCTCCGATTTATATTCGTCCCCGTAACCGTCCGCCATTTTCTCCGGGATATTTTTATGCTTTTGCGTTTAAACATGAGCGGGTCTCCCGATGGTCTTCCACTCCGAATTTTCTTTATCCCAGCTAGCCAAAATATTCCGCGACAGCCGCTGGCGAACGGAATAAACGGAGAAATCGGCTACGTGGAGCGAAATCGAAGTGCCCTTCCTCTCGCTCCCGCTGCTGCTCCTCGGTAATATAAGGTCCGGCCATCTAGAGCCGTTGATAAAACTTCCAAGTTGGACCTCATCGGGATACCGCATAAAATTTCAATAAATCCGAACCCGTGAAAGGGGCTCGGACAGAAGGAACGAATGGTCTGAGCTACAAGCTAGTTCCAACTTATTTCCGGCTGTTACACGGACCCCTCCCCCTCTCCGTTCGAAATCCTCCTCTTCTAGTACCTACACTCTCATCGAACCTCCTTTGTCTTTCGAAACTGTTATCGAGCTCCTGCGACAGCTCTCGCTCGTCCCGATGGGTTTGCTACTTCGGAACGTTGAAAAACAACCCTTTTCAGAAATCTTTTCTCGAACACAATCAACGGCACGGTACTCTTTTCACGCAGAAATATTACTTTATCAAAGAAATATGCAAATCTTTTCGAGAATGTCTTTAGAAAAAATTAATTTTTTTGACCGTCTAAATGGGAATACCTCCCCCAATGGGCAGCCGCGAAACGGTGAACCTTTTCCAGCAGGATAATAAACCCTCTTCTCGCCGTCCTGTTTCATCCGACCTATTCCTTCTCTCCCCGTTGGTCGTCCTTCTGTCTGGGTCTTTTTTTCCCGGGGACCGGAAATCCGGGCGAGCATAAAAATGCAATTAAGGAAACGCCTAGCGTCTGGCACAGAGGCTGCATACTTCGTCCCCAGGTCCTGAAAGCCGACTTCTTCTTCTTTTCTTCTTCTTCTTCATCTTCTTCTTTCTCGTTCATCAACCCCCTCTCACCCTTCATTACCCTCCTTTCACATCTATTTCCTGGACTCCCCTTTGGACTTGTCTAAATTCAGTTCACCGTTCCGGCTGGTTAAACGCCCGCAGACTCGACGAACGGAACGAGTAAAACGCTACCCGTTGATACCAGAACTCCCAGGATATTCCTCGAGGAACCTGGAAGATTCTTGGTGAAAAGACTCCACGGTCGACCAACCAAGGTCTTTGCTTGGTCGACGGTGTTTCGGTAACGCGATGTTCCTTGAACGAAAAAACCCTGTAATAGTAATTATGAAGCAAAGACGTCTCGTTGATGGAGGTGTGTTTGCTTCGATTGACATGCTTCGTTGGACAGGTTATCGACCCACTGGTCCAGTGGTGCGCAACCTTTTTCGTCACTGGGACGAACGAGGTTAAATCCGATTCGAAGCCAGAGTCGATCTCTTCAGCGCCGCGATATAATTGCCACGCATTGATCTACAATCGACAATCGTGCGTCTCGATCGGGCAGTCGTAATTCTCAGACTGTACGTAATCGTTCCATTCAGTAGTCCGACACAAGGGAATCAATTCCCAACGTCAATGTACCGATGCTATCTAAACACGATTCCGAATCCCATCTCTAACCAACACCGTAACCGGTCGCGCTCGACGCCACCTTCGGGGCTACTTGCTCCGTCAAAGCGGAACAAGGTTAAGGGTTCTAGGAGGAGATTCGACAGAAGTATGAGAGATAGCGGCAAGTACGAGGGAAGTTTGTCGCAAGTTTAGATTGAGTTCAATCTCCGAGCCACGCGATGGTTGCTCCTCTCCGTCTTTCCGTCCAGGGCTCTCTCGTACCCCTCCCGTGCCGTCTCCTCCGCCCGGCTTATCGTCTAATATCCAACCAGGGGGTAGGAGGAACGAAATATCAAAGCATTCCGTGCGCAGACCCATCGTCGTGTCCTGGCTTCCCTCTCTTTCGTCTCATCTATTCGACCAGCGTCCCTCCTTTCTCGCCGTTGACAAAGTGGCAGTCCCTCGAAATTGCGCGGACTCGCCTCGAACACATTTTTGCTGGATTCCGCCCGAGAAACCGGACGCGGTGACAAACTTTCCGCTAAGAACTTTGCCAATCGCGACTTTGCCACTCGTTGGACGACCAGTTTTTACTTTGCTGGCCGTTATTGAATGTAACAGGGGACGAAGTATTGCTATCGGTCAAATTTCGGCTATCTCAGGTCTTTTGCATTCATCGATGCTTCCAAGTATCTTTTATTCTCAATCGGACAAAGATGATATCGTGATTTAACTTATTAACGATTATCACTAACTAACGATTCACCTGCGTTGAAAAAGTTGAGGGCGTGTCTACAAGTTTAAATGAGTACTATACGGTATTCCGGGGATTTTTCTTCGGTCCTGGCAGCTCTAATCGAGTCACTTGGATGGCCGCAGATTGCAGGTACTGCATCCTCTGGCCTGACATAACGGTACACGTCGAGGACGAACTTATCTAACAAGGTTTCCCAGAAAGGATTTCACAGAGTTGAAACGAGAGTTGGTGGTAGCCAGTTGTCGAATAATCAAGGGCGTTATTAAATCATCGATTTTCCGCGGGCGAGACGGCGACGCAGCTACCTCGGAAATATGGAATTACTCGGGCACGTCAAGTGCCTAACAACGTAACGCTGCGTACGTTTCAGGCGCATCAGCCCAAACGAAGTTAACGTTGCACCCGCGATGAAAGCGCTCGATCTGCAGCCAGGAAAATTGGCTTTTACACCCCGCTTCGACCGGGAAAATTCGATCAACCGCGACGGATTGTCGTTCGCTGATGGCTTCATTACCTTACTTCATCGTGCTGCCAACGAGTGTCGATCAAAACAACTAGGATCGTGAAAAATGTCACGGGGTCGGTCGGGAACTCGACGTTTCAGAACTCGTTTTACGAGAGAACCAGGGAAATTAAAAAAAGTAATTTTCCCGTAATTTTCAAAATTTACATTTTGAAATTTTACAGTAATCTCCGAGCTCGGTAAATTCCTAAATGTCTACTTAATCGATGGAATTTCATTTTGCTACTCTACCGTGTTCTACCAAGTTCAAATTATATCCAACTTTCAAGAATTTTGACCTACTTTCGAATATTAGAATCCCGATCTAGCTGTACCTTTGGAACAGGTATTCGCCGAAGCGAATAGTTTCGAATAAATGATTATCGGAGTAAGCCCAGCAGCGAGAAACTGAAATATATACTCCGTTATCGGCCGTAATTGTGTCAATGGATGCGCAGCTGTCCATTCATCAAACGAGCATATAAATTACAAATATCTCTGACGAAAATAGCTGTACGCAAACGGGGTGTACTCCGATACGGTAATTGCGGTCGCAAGTTTCTACTTGGTGGTGGAAACTATACGCAAAGGCTCGTATTTACACGAATCGGGGAAACGGGGACGTTCATACGTTCCAACCTAATACGTACGTGCACACGAGACCCGGAGTAAATCGTTTCCCGTCGCTGACGAGCCGTCGGAAAGGCGGAAATTTCCAACCGAACGGAAGGAAGGGCCGATAGCAGCCCGGGGAACGGGGTTACCGGAGTGGACGCCGCCACGTCCGTGGATTATATATTTTCGGTAAGCGCGGGGGGCGAAGGGGAACGAGAACAGTCGGATGGTCTGGGCTTAATATGTCCGCATTATTCTTCGTCCGGTGAAAACCGGCTTAGGCGTACCGGGCGCAGTGGTAGTGGTAAGGACAGGCCAGACAGAGGTAGATTAATGCAATCTGCATCAATCTCCATCGGGGTTGAAGTCCTGTCTTTCCTCTGTATAACCGTCAGCCTACCGGTGCCTATTCACTTACGCCCATTCGCGTCGTTATTATGCGTCATTTTACTCTCGTTTTTGGCCAATCATCTCATCGTGACGTCGTCCCCGACCAATCGCTTTCAGCAAACGGTACGAAACGTCCCTCGAGATCGTTCTTCCGGGATGCGGTCGTTTTACCGCTTTCGAAACAGTCTCGACTTCGAATGTCTGTACATGCCAAACAATTCCGAATACACACAAAACGATGACTCAAACCTCCCCTATTCCCGGATATACCGCAACGTACTTTGGTTTCACCAAAATCCCCAAAGTCCGCTACAGAAATAATCGATTCGACGTCGAACAGTCCATATCAAAGACCCGAGCGAAAGGTCGAGACGTGTATAATTAAATATCCCAAACGAGAAGAGGACTCTTGATACTAACGCAAGAGTATCACGGACATTCTGTCGTTCGTAAACCCAGCCATCGCAATGCATTGTCCAATATCGCGGGCGTTAGGCGACTCGTTACCGTCCGCGCCAATTTAACTCGGCAACTTTGTCCCGTTAATTCGTCGACTATCGCGATAATTACCGCGACGTATCAACCTGGAAGAGACATTTTCTCTAGACGCGTTTATCCAGCCCGTTTCTTTCTTGCCATTCGCGAGATAACTGTCGTCGCGTACGCGAGCGGATCCTCGCCGACGCCGGAGCGGCTTTTCGTTTTTATTATCGCCAGCGTTATTGTGCAACGGCGTGTACGTTTCGCGATACCAGGGTGTGAAAGCCTTTCACGGCAACGGACGCACAACGCCCGACGAATACGCGCATAATCGAGCGCCGCGACACAAAGCGTCCCTGCGTCCTGATAAAGCCACCCTCGGCGCGCACACAGAGGCCGGGCCCAT